GCTTCTTCTAATATTGACTGTTATTCACAAAAATTAAATTATTATAATATAATTCATTATGCATAATAGTCTAATCTTTCTAGATTAAGATCATAATCCTTTCTAGAATACTGCTTACATATTAAAATAATATCCTTTAATAGCCAGAAATTACGTTCTTTAAGTACTTACTTAATACCTTTTAGTTGTCCTTTTAGTGGATGATTATCTAGAAATATCATTGACTGCATAATCTTCTTATTATTTCTATTAATATACTAACCATCACGTATCTTAAGTTATTTTCCTCCAGAATTCATATTCATTCTCATTACAATAAGTGCATCAACTATTATAGCATTGTGGTTTATTAATTGATTGAAGTAAAAAACTCTGATACATTCAGAATACAGTACTTCAAAGATCAGAATTGTTTGATGAATAAGCTTATTTATAAATGAAAAGAAAATTAGTAACTTTTTCCTTTAATATAAGTCAATGAATAATAAGGAAAGCTTAAATCTGATCTAGTATATGTTTTGATTTCCAATAATTATTTGCTTGTATAAATCACAGAATATAAGCTTCTTTATGTTTAATATGAGGATTTTTCTGCAGTTGTTCATCAGATAATTGCATTAATCCATAATATAAACAAATAAAAGCTAAAACTATGATAGAACATCTAAGATATTTTGAGCGTAAAATATTCTTATTCTTTCTCATCTAAATTTTCCATTGCTTATCATTAGCATAAAAGTGATATTCATTATATATCACTTGTATTAATTCTTCTCTTCTAACTTAAGCTGTGATTCTAATATATATCTAACATATCGCTATCAAAATCTTTTATAGATTCCTTATACAAGAACATCCTTTTTAACCATTTCTTCCTATATTTTATAATATCTGGCTGTTTATACTCATCGTAATAGATTTTTTTCTTTTTTTCATCATAGACATATCCTTACAAATTCATATAGTTTGATAAGTTTTTTCAGAAATCGTATCCTTTTTAATGTATCTAGTTAACTTTGGAAATAGTATTGTTTCAATATATATTTTTAGGTTTTTAGGAGAACAGGACTCTAGTATTTGCTATCATAATCAGGTTTGACATTTTTCCTTAAAATCTTTATCTTTTAATAAACTTTCTAATTTTGCATGTTTCTTTTGATAATATACAAGAAGCTTTTCTGGCTAAATAAAATGAACTTCCTATTTCTGAATACACCTCACCATATAATCGCCTTTATTTCACATTGTTTCTGCAATTTGAATGCTAACATCCATTTTACCTTGCCCATCTAATAACAATGTATGAATCTACATATATTTAGGTAATGTATATAATCATAGATAAAAATATTATTATTTATTTTTGCAGATTTTGATATTGAGTATTTTTGATTTATTTCTTCTAAACGAGCTTGTAGATTTTGCGTAATATTAACAGAAGATAAAGAAGAACTTTATATAATTTTTAAAGGTTGAGGTGAAAGCATTGAAGAATTCTGGAAATGATTATGATGGTTGTGATAGTTATAATGATTCAAAGTTTCAGTACTTCCAAAAAATGTCTTAAGTGTTTTCATTCCTTTTGTATCATTTGCTAAACTTTTTTTTTTTTTTTCTGTCTCCAAGCTGTGCTTCTTGAAGTTCTGGTATATGCTGTTCTAATTCTTTTATTAGCATTCTTATGTCAATAAAGAGCCTCAGTATTAAGCTTTTTTTTCACTTTCTCAAATTCTATCAAATTCTTTTCCATCTAATCTTCGTTTTCTATTTCAATTTCATTTTTCATTCAAATATCTTTACCTATCATTCTATAATTTTTGCCTTCTATTTTAATAGTTTTACCTTTTGTTCTAATAGTTCTAACTTCGCCTACTATAGCTTTATCATTTTTAATAGTTACTTCTAGTCTAATAACTTCTTTTGCTAGCTCTTGAGATATAAAATAGCCTTTTTTTCTAGGTATTTTAATTATCTGCTATTGTCTTTTTGTTTTATGTGACATGTTAAAAGTATCAGTTAGTTTAACTAAAATCAAAAATTAAAATCAAGATTTTAAAGATTTGAGTTTAATTAATTGTGATAATTCAGGCTAACATTATAATATCAATAGTGTCAGCCTAAATTACTATAAGTTTTGATCAATCAAATTTATTTCATGTGATCAAATTTGTTTCAAATTTTTGACTGATCATATAAAAATCATGTAATTTTAAATGCTTATAACTTTTTATCTAGAACTTATTTTAAAAATCTAACTAGTAATTTAATAAACTTATCATAAAGAATAAAGTTACCGATTTATTTCTTTTAAATTTTATTTTTTTAAAATTTTGAAAGATTTTTAAGTATTACAATTTTATTATTAAGTATAGACTTCCAGCATCATATTTTATTCAAAAAATTTGTTACATCAAGAGTTCACTATATCAAGAGTTAACTATAATAATTATTTTTATCAAATTAATAAATTTAATATTAAATCAAGTTTTTAATTTGAGAAAAAGTTATTTAAAAATTTTACATTTTAAAATTAAATTAAATTAAATTTTATAAGTATAATTAATACTAATAAATGAAATATATATAAATATAATATAATTAATTTAATAATACAAAATTTTATTTGTTAGATTATTAAATATTGAAGTAATATAAAATTTATTTATCAATTAGATAATTAAAATAATATTATATTTAAATTATATAAGTAATTAGTTTTTATTATATTTTAGATAATAATAATACTTATCAAAAAATTAGATATATTAATTTTAATTAATAAGATAAGAATTAGAAATTTATTTAAAATTTATATTAATTAAGAATTAATTACTTAATATATTTTTATTTTAAATTTTTATTTTAGTATTAAAGTTTACTAAATAATTTTATTAATTTATTTATTTCAGATATTATCATTTTATATCTAAAAACTATTAAAATTATTATTAATTTTAGCTCAATTCAACTAATCCTTTAAAAATTTACTATTAAATTAAAATAAAAAATTTACTTTTAATATATTAAATACTTACTATTTTACCTAATTATTTATTATATTTTATTGTAAATATTTATTTTACTTAAAACTTTAAATGGATCAGGTTAGATTAGATAAATCAAATTATCTAACTTGAGAAAATTAAACCAATTCTAGCAAAATCTGACCTAATTTAAATTTTTATTTAAACTAACTTGACTTGATCTGATTAAATTATTTAATTAGAATTATAATAAATTATTCAATTAAATAATAGTGACTTATTTAATAAAATAATAATAAATCTTTCAAGAGAAATTATTTAATTAAAATAATAATAAAGCATTTAATTAAAATAATAGCAAATTATTCAATTAGAATAATAGTGAATTATTTAAGAAGAATAATAATATATTATTTTTAATTAAATTTTACTATTATTTAAAAAGTATAATTTATTTTTATTTAATAAGAATAATTTATTATTGTTCTAATTAAATAATTCATTGTTATTTAATTAGTATATTATATTGTTATTTTTCTTAAAAAAATTTTTATTGTTAAATTAGAATAACACATTATTATTTTAATTAAACTATTTATTATTATTCAATTAAATATTAGTTCTTATTTAAAAAAATAATTGATTAACTAAATTTGTCAAGTTAAATAATAAATTAATTAAATTTATTAATCTGATCTGAATTTTTCATCAAATCAAATTAGATAACAGGTATCCTGACTTAATTTAAAGCTTAATCCTATTAATAACTAAGATTTATAAATTAAATTTTCAGTTTTAATAATAAATTAGACTTTTATTATTACAATATTTAATAATATTATATAAGATTAATAATTATTATTTTTAGAATATTAAATTTATTTAAAAATAATTTGACCTTAATTTGATAATATCAATAATACAATTTATTATTATTGATTATTAACCTATTAATTACTAATAAGAAATTCTGTAATATATATTTTTAATTATTAATTTATTTAGATTAATCTTATAAATAAAAATATTAATTACTGTAGTTTAATTATAATAAATTCTTATAAAAATTTTAGTTTTATATCTTAATTAAGATTTAAATTTATAGTTTAATATCTAAAAAAATTATTATAAAAGATATATAAACTATCTATCAATCTTAATTAAGTGAATAAATATTATCGTATAATCCTGAAAATAAGCATCACGTGATATATATGAATTTATTAGTATATACGTGACTAATAATATAATAAATTTCATGTGACAAATAAATAAATTATTATAAAAGGAGCATGTCACAGGATGCTTATTTTCAGGATTATATGGTAAATCAATAATTTTAAAATAAGAAATGAAAATGAATATATATGCGTAGTATAATAATTAGTACAATTAGTATAATTAGTACAGTTAGTTTATTATAATAATTAATATAAATTAGTAAAAATATAATATAAATATAGTTTAATATATACAAATTTCTCAACTCTATAATAAAATTTATAATAATTAATATGATATAGAAAATAGAATTAGAAAGATTTTATAGATTCTAAAACTATCTTTAAATTATAAAAAATATTTTACAAAGTGTTTAATAAATTTAAAATTTTTTTATTTTATTTTTAAGTATATATTGAAAATAGTAAATAACAATTAATTGTTTTATTTTATTATAATCTCATTTTTATTAATTAATAATATTTTAATAGATAATACAAAACAAAAAAATATTAGTAAAAAAAGATTGAGAAATTTTTTATTAGAATATAATATTGATATAATAAGAAGTAGAATTACAAATCATGCATAAGAAAATCATTAGGTTTTTAGATTTAACAAGTAATATTTGTATGAAACTTCATTCTTTAAATGAATAAAAATTTATGAACAGTCAAAATCTAAAATGCAAGATTTCAATAATACTGAATATAAAGATAATGTTAATTTGTAATTAAAAAAAAAATTTATCTAATACTTGATTTTTCTGCTCAGTTTTTAATCGGTCAAACCATTTTAGAACCCGGCAATATTCTTCATTTCTGATCGTTCGGATTCTTGATCGGAATTCGAATTGACCATCGGTGACCCGATTTTTGCAAGCTATTTTTTTTTGATCGTTTTAGAACATGGTTTAAATACTTCAACTAATGTTATAGTCCTGGGTAATAACTAATAATACCAAGCGTTCAACTCTACATTTAAACTTTAAAACCTTTTATTGAACAAAAATTTCCTTCAGCAGCAACACCAAAATTTACTCTCTCACAACAACAGAAAAAAATTCTTCTGGCTTGATTTAATAAAATTACTTTGTTAATTAGTTTTTTCTGTTGGTAATGAACAGGCCTAGAGTTTACAAAGATTATATTAAAAATTATTAATAAAAAAAATGTAATTTGTCAAATATGAACAAAGATGATCTTAATGAGATTTCGGATATAATTTACTGTATTTAAATTTCAGATTTCTATTGAAAATGCCTATTAAAATTTCTTTTTATTACAACTAAAAATAAACAAAATAAAATTTATAAGGAAAACAAATGCAGTGAAATGCTATAACTAAATTACTAATATTTTGGCTCTTTGAATCTATTTAGCCATAAACTATTTAAAACTACACTTACGGAACTAACTACCATAGCTAGACTAGCAATTTCGGGTCTAAGGCCATATTTAAATACAGGAAAGAAAACACCAGCAGCGATAGGTATAGCTAACGAATTATAAATATATGCCCATAAGAAATTATATCTAATTCTCCATATTATAGCTTTAGCGAGTGTTACTAATGTAATTAAAGAAGTCAATGTTGATCTTGTCAAAATAATAGAAGCTGATTCAATGGCAACATCAGTAGCAGTTGATATTGATATGGGTAAATCTGATTGTGCAAGTGCGGGTGAATCATTAATACCATCACCAATCATTGCAACTATGGCCCTCCTTGTTTGAACATTTTTTCTTTTAAATAATTGAAGAAATTTATTTGGAGGTTTAACAGGAACTCCTTTACGTTGTAACCATTTAATTTTTTCTGCTTTCACCTCAGGAGTTACTTCTGCTAATACATTTACAATTCCAATTTGGTTTGCAATGGTTTTAGCTGTCACAGGATTATCTCCCGTAATCATCCATACTTCAAACCCGCGAGCAGTTAATTCAGAAACAGTTTTAGCGGCATCAGGTCTTGGATAATCAGCAATTCCCATTTGCGCAAGAATATAACCTTTAGAAGTTTGAGATGATAATCCAATAAGAACTAGGGAGTAACCAGATTCTTGCCAACTTTGAATAGTTGAAGAAGCCTTCCGTTTAGTAACATGAGATGAATAAACGCAACCATTTTCTTGAAGCCATTTGACGTTACCAATAAATACTTTATAAGTCGAGCTGGGTTTCTCATTGGGTAACAAGTTAAGTGCTTCAGCATTATTAATTCTCACAATGGCTTGAAGACCTCTACCGGGAGTTTCAGTTACGCTTTCCAATGTGA